TTAATGTTTTGACTGGTCGCTAAAGGACGGCGCTGTTATCGTATCCAGTTTGGTCTCGGTGGACGCGAGCGGTCCGGGGCTGAGTTTCCCAACTGAGAACTGAGGGTTTTAGTAACGTTGGTTTTGCGGTATTGGCCAGATGAAATGTACAGGTCCCGTCAAAGCAAAACGGAGCGCCAGAGCGGCGACCGAACTGCATCGCCGCGTTATCTAGCAGCGCCGGCTGCAACTGATAGGTGCCGTCTGCGCATGCGCGCGGGCCGTTCGCGGTGTCCTCCGTCTTTTTGTTTGATCCTCGCATTATCGGCGTCTGGAGCTGCCAAACGCTGTTCCGATAAACACCGCTAGGTGTTCGGCTCGGGCTCATACGGGGAGATACCACTGAAGGCAAGTGGGAGAGAGGGGCGAGTGTTGTCGATGAGCACCGCTCCTTGTGCTATCAGGCGTCGATTTTAGAAAGAGCGTTGCGCCGCTCAAACCACCGATAACGTGTGGGTGGGAAGAAGAAAACGGAGGCCCCAGCGGAAGGCACGTTTTACTTTGACTGGACCTGTACGTACTATCTACGAGAATTGGTCGTTCATAACATTGTCAAATGTTGTCCGAGCCCCCCCCCCCCCCCCCCCAAAAAAAAAAGAAGAAAAAGAAAAAAAATTATTATATGTGAAAAAAAATGAAAGCCGTTTACAATTCCCTGTAACGCCGGTTAGAGCGCAGCTCTTGAGGAGGAAGATGGAAGCGTACTGAGGGATAGGTGACTCCTTGAGGTCACGTGACCTCAAGGGGGTCACGTGACTTCAGGGGGTTACGTGGCCTCAGGGAGTCACGTGACCTAGGGGTGTCACGTGACATGGGTGGGTCACGTGACCCCCAGAAGTCACGTGACCTCAGGGGGTCACGTGACCTCAGGGGTCACGTGACTTCTGGGGCCACGTGACCTGGGTGGGTCACGTGACCCCAGAAGTCACGTGACTTCTGGGGGTCGCGTGACCTCAGGGGGTCACGTGACCTAAGGGGGTCACGTGACCTAAGGGGGTCACGTGACCTCGCGGTTACGCCGACGGCGACGCCGACGCCGCTCAAGCCGGAAACGGGCCCCTAAGAGCTGCGCTCTAAAAAAAGGGAAATATACGTAAATGCCAAGTGTTTTCACGGCTGCTCGATAGATGGCGCGAGTGTATCTCTCGTTGTCAGGGTTGACTACAGTGAAGCGTGACGGCTGCTCATGTCATTTTTATCTAAGGAAAACCTTTTCAACAACAGAGATTCTAAGAGGTTTAAAGGCATTCGGTCTGTCGGCAGTCGCAAGATGTGTGAACCAGCCTTACGCGTCGCTAATTCAGTAGCTACGCATGTACATGTGAATACATTTCTGTGGCTATGCAATCAAATCTAACGGGCGCTCGGTAACCCAGGTCAAAGATCAAAGCTTTGCACAAGCATTCTTTACTTCTCCTGAAATGTTGTTTACAATTATAGGTAGGGGTATCTCGCTTCTGAACTTCGACAGCGATGCCTTTTACTGCTCCGGTAACGTGGCGCGTGCGCGATATTAGGAAGTTTTAGGGAACCGTTTTTTCACATCGCATACGGTACGATGGGCTCTCCGGTACGAACTGCGCATATACTACAGCATGAGACTCGCGCATGCGCAGTTCCTACCGGAGGGCCGATCGTATCGTATCAGACGTGCGAAAACAGTTCCCTAAAACTCCCCATTAGGGAACCGTTTTTGCACATCCGATACGACGGGCCCTCCGGTACGAACTGCGCATGCGCTATACCTCAGAAGACACGCGCATGCGCAGTTCATACCGGAGAGCCCATCGTACCCTACCGGACGTACGGTTCCCTAAATCTCTCTGGTCGTTCCAAAAACGTAGCCAACGGTACCCCGGTACTCCGCTAGCGCCTTCCGGTATTTGGAGCGTTAAGGCCCGTTCACACTCTTGCGACCGAGTACGACTGAGAGAGACGAGATCTCTTACAACTTCTTAAATGTTTCTAGAATGAGGGAACACACTGACATTGTGGCGCCATCTATGCGGTGACCCTAGAACTGCATTTCACAAAAGCGAAGGTTTTGCGGGATTTCCGAGGTCAAATGTGCGTAATACCCATAGAAAGGCTCGTTTATAACATTGACAAAAGTTTTTAGAGCCAAAAAAGAAAGGATATTGCGCGAGAAATAAAAAAAAATATGCCGGACCGCCGAGTTTACACTGCTTCCCAATAGATGGCGCCAGTGTGTTCTCTGGTTTAAGAAGTTTTAAGGAACCCAGGTTTAAGAGGTCGCAAGCAGTCGCAAGAGTGTGAACGGGCCTTTATCGGGTACGGTTATCGGAGTTGTCGGAAAGGTATACTTCCTATTATCAGGTGATTCGAGCAAATGATACTTCCCGGGAATATCGTTTTCTAATGTTGGAACAATCGGGAATTTCTTTGAGGCCGTGGACTGTCTTGACTTTGCTAACTCGTTTGCCTTTCGCAGGCTTGCTTCTACAAAGTTCATAATTCAAGACGGCTAATTTACGACAGTATTTTATGTCACAAATATTTTTTTTCCGCACTAAGATGACATATATTCTGCGCCATAAAAAATACGTTTTATTCAGATTTTTTTTATATCTTATTATTTTGGAAAGCTCGTTTCCAGAATATCACGAGTATGCAACGTGTCTGTCCGCAGAAAGCACCTCAGTGGTGTGCGAAGCACGCACGAGGATGTGGAATTAGCATGTATCTTCATTCCGCGAATGCTCGTGAAAACAAAGCACTTATACTCCGTCTCACTTCAAAAGGCCGCTGACAAGCCCGAAGTCTTTATTTTTTATTCTCTTTACCGCTTCAAAATAACGTCGAAAAAAAAAAACCTGAACAGCGTAAAAAATAAAGTTTTATAGTTTTTTTTATTCCTCGCCGTTTTTTTTTTTCTTTTTTGCTTTGTTTTTTGTTTCTTATTCCGCCTTTGCGGTGATGGCGTATAAGACGAAAAAATTTAGATGATTTGAACGTAGGGCGTATGCACGCTTGATCAACCAGACTCTCAAAATCTTCACATCGAATGGCTTCCCAGGAGACTTCCCGGTTCTGCATGCGTTGTTACTGCGCAACAAGCAGGCTCTCTTGAGATGACGAGAAAAAATCCAGCGCCCTGAACGCTGTTCAAACCAGCCCTCGGAAGAGTTGAAAAGTCCGTCAAGCAATCACGGGTCACCTCCGGGACAAGTCACTTACTTCCGGCGTCTTCGTATCTGTTTGCTCAATGCGCCATCCAGCCCTCCAGTGGATATTAGTGTCAAAAGCCAATCTACTACGGCTACATAAGCGATGGGTTTTCAAATAAAAACTTGTTATGAGTGCGCCCTGTGTCCTCTAATTATTTCTCCTTGTGTATTTTTTGTAGCGCTTTTTGAGTAAACGGAAAAATAGTCAGTATGATCTTTTCTTTTTTCTTCTTCCACGTGCCATATCTTTATGTTAAAAAAATAGCATGATTCATAACACTAACTTGAATAAGAACTTCCTGCCCGTCCGTTCGGGTAATTATTTCTAACAATACTAAAAAAAGAAAAGCGCACAAAAGTTTTCGTTTTTGTTTATTCGAAGTGGGTTAGACCCATATGTCACACTCACACAATCTATTTGATGAATAAAATTCGATTGCATTTCATTAATTGCGTCATATTCGTAAATGTGGCTCAGGTTGAAGCCTGGTCTAGTTGGTGTGACACCTTTAAAAGGTTAAAACAGCGCAAACGACGAGGGGCAAGAAGCAGAAGGACACGTGCTCAGCCAACACCACCTAGACAGAAGTCCTCCACACGCGTCATCATAGTCAGATCGATCGAGGCGAGAGATTGGGCACGAGTGCTGCGTCAGTGTTCGGCTGCGGCTCGTGGCCAATCAGCGCGTCGAAGGTCGGGCTCGGGTCCAATAGCCGACCGAGCGCGATCCGACTGTGATGACGTTTCATTGAGGAAGAGGAAACCATGCGGAGGCCTTCTGTCTAGGTGGTGTTGGCTCAGCGCTGACTCTCAACTGAATTTTTATTCATCGTGACCGCACAATACATACTTGTTCGGTCAAGACTATTAAAAGAAGATAAAACAGTCATGCATCAACACCCCAAAACCACCGTATCGCACGCGCGCATTTTACACTAGCGACGAGCAAGATAATCTATTTCTCTGTTAGATAGGGTGATGGACGGAAAAATGTCTACACACTGATGAGTGCAAATATATCCAAATAACAAAGAAAGGCAGGGTAGTTCACGTAGAAGCCTTCCGATAAAATAAAAGTTCTCTGCTTGGAAATTGATATCCTGAAACTGTGCCAAAACAAAAATCAATGAAAATACAGTGCTATTGTTCTGGCGAAGAGGTTGGCACTAACGTCTATTTTCGAACATATGTTCGAAAGCCACCCCAGGCTGGGTTTACCATCATATGATGGTAGACCCAAACTAGGGTGGCTCGCCATCATTTTAATAACTTTTTGGCGCGTCTTTTCCTGAATTAGCTTCCCACACACACACACACACACACACACACATACACACACACACATTTACACACGCATGCGCGCTAGCACACACACACACGCGCGCGCGCGCGCGCTCGCGCACGCACACACACATTTACACGCGCATGCGCGGGCGCGCACACACAGAGACATACGCACTCACACACACAATTACGCACGCACGCGCGAACACCCTTCCTTCCATTACGCGGACCTCGAAAATTACGAAAACGAAACCGTTACTCCAGCGCTTGCTAGAATCGACACGCTACACTAGCGCCAATTTCGTTTTATCATATTGGCTTAAAACTAGAAGTAAACAAAAAAAAAAAGCTTTAACGCAAACATAAACTAAAAAAAAGTTAAATATAAACAATGTTTCGACTGAATAAATATGTAGAATAGTTTTAAAATTCTACCTTTTATTCTACCAGTTTGATGGACATGCAGCGCCATCTAGTGGACAGAATGTCAAGTACGGCGCGTGTGAGTGTTGCCTATGGTGTTGCCCTTCCTCCTACGTTCGGCGGGCAGAAAACGACGGAGAAGACGTAGAACGTCTCAGAATGTGGGGGGTAGGTGCCGTTTGTTTCATTGAATCTAGCAGCATGTTACACCTAGTCTAATGCAAGAAATAGTTTTTGTTTTTGTTTTTGTACCGAGACCCTAGCAAAAAACTACACTGCTCAACCGCTGCTCGGAACGGTGGAGATGAAGCGAGCGAAGACGCCGATATGAAATCGGGTCAGATCTTTCGAAGTTCGGGAACCAAGATTCATCTTCGCCGGGGAGGGAACCGATGAAGCATGCTGCACCGGTGAAGATACCCCGCTGCCTTCATGATACCTGCCTCGAGAATCTCCAAGCATGATTGTCATAGGTGAGACGACAGCGCTTCTTTTCGTTGAAAGAGTTCTTCGCTACGTTGAAGGAGTTGTTCGCTGCCGTTGAATCGCGTCTCTTGTTTTGTGCCGTTTCTACACTGCGATCAAATAGCGAAGAAAAGTATGAAGTTCTACTTGTTAGTAAACGGCGGCCGATGTTCTTGCAACTGGTATCATTCACCACTGCTGTCATCCCAGCCGTTAAGCTGCGGGACGTTTTGTCGGGGTGGTGGCCGGTCAAAAATTACTTCTCGTACGTTCCACGATCAAATGTGAACACCGGGGTGCCTCATGGCATTTCGTGCAGTATCACTCATGCAAGGGCTGTACAGCAGCGTAGATCTTGGTAGCTTCGAAAGCTGACGATGAGACTTAGCTGGTTGGTGTTTTTGTAAATAGCCTTGAACGTGTCACGCAGTCAAGAGTGACAGCATTTGCTTTTTTTGCTTTCTAATGACTCTGTTCCGATTTGGACACTGTCGTCACTCGGATACTAGATAACTCGAAAAGATACAAATAGCAATTTTTGGAATAAATTATTCGCGTTCCCTATTCCGTGTATCGCAGGTGGTTGGTTTTGTGAGGCATTGGTGCATCTTGGGAACTTGAAAAATGTAGTGTGCCAGGGGTGAAGTCGCAAGAAGCAGTCTTGCCACAAATACAGCACGGCTCTTTTACGTGTTGATGGGCATTTTATACTCGAGGAAGCGAGATTGACGTAAGTCATTTGAGAACGAGAAGAAACAAACCACTGTGGGGCTCAGTTATCGGCAGGACATTCCTCAGATCTCTAGGTAGGGCTCTGCAGCCCTAGGCAATGAAGCTCAGAAGCTGGCAGCTCAACACTGTATGTCACATTACATGACTTGGCCAAACCAAGAACACACATCCTTAAGTCGCGCAGTTGGTCAAAATGAGAAGCTTTGACAACTTTCACCGAGCATTAAAGGATCGCTGCATAATTATAATTCTAAACTGTCCACGCGGATGGCAATACAACATTTCGCAAGTCTGTTGCACCTCCCACCACCTGCTCAATGAATTACGGCCATCTAATGTGTGTTTAATACGGTTTATCGAACGCCATTTGATTGAAACACGTTTTACAGAACGGGTATGTTTTATCGAAGCTTGGTTTAGAGAAAGCGGCGCCTCAATTTATAGAAACATTGTTTATCGAAAAGGGGATTCTGTTTAAAAAAAGGCTTCCCTACTTCTCGCGTGTTAACCCACCTGGCTCACCCTTACACGCTGCTTTGCGGCGGCCGAATTCGCTAAAAGGAGACTCATCCCCATTTTCTCTAAGCTGGGTTTCTCTATAAAGCAGCTCGACGAACTGGGGTCTGTAAAATGGTGTTCACTAAAACAAGCATCTCTAAACTGCGTGCCTCCAGTCCAACGGTTGTGCATGACAAAGTACCCATGAATAGAAAAGAAAGTCCATGCTTGAAAATGTTGTGATTTCAGAACGCATGTAAGACCGGACGGTTACAAGAACGCAATATGTGCCGACCCTGTTTCGTGTTTGTTTTCTTTTCTTTGTATTTTGAAATTGCAATGATAAGAAAGAATGGGTCATGCCGCTTCCAGGTGATGTGGGGGGTCGTAGTTTGCACGTCGGACATTGGAACAGCCTCAGAATTCCGCACACTGCGCGGTGTGGTCTGAGACGACTGCAATGTCCCGTGGGAAGTTACGGAAAGGTCTGTGGACCATTCCAGAAGTATACAGCCCTCCTGTCCCGTCATCTCTTTTGACGCGGCATAGAAATCTCATATTTGGTATGTAAAGGATTACCGTGAATAGAAAAAGTGGTTTGTTTTGGTTTAGGATTTTACGAGTTTAGAATGCATCGGCGGCAGGATGATAACAGGATGGGGCAGGGCCGTACCCAGAAAAACATTTCGGGGGGGGGGGTTTTCGGGGACAACGGCGGCCATTTTGAAAATGTCTATTGTCTTATTTTCGCCTATGAATCATGTGCATCGGTGGCATATAATGGAGAGTTATAGCAAACCGGAGAATCGGTCCCGGTTTGGTACCCGGTAGCCGACCGGTGCCACTGCGCGTGCGCAGAGGTGGAGATTAAAATCGACTGGCTCCAAGTGCACCGACCAGAGCCGTACCCAGAAAAAAAATTTCGGGGGGGGTCAGAACCCCCTAACCCCCCCCTGGTTACGGCCCTGGGATGGGGTATGTATTGGCTTTGTCGTGTGTTCATTCTTCTTTCTTTGTGTTCTATAAGAAAGAAGGGATCACGTTACCTTCAGGACATACGGGTTCGTACAAGTCAACCCAAGCATACGTTGGAACGGCCCCCAACTCCCCGGGCCACGCGGTGCAATGCGGGGTCACCAACAGGCATTGTGGTATTTTCCAGAAACATCTATTGTATTTGAGCCCTTTTTTCACAGTGGTTCGGGCGTTCTTCCCCGTGCTAGCAGAGACCCACTGCTTCGAAAAGTCCCAGCTCGTGCCTCGTTGCCTTCGACCACAGGCCTCAAAGCCAGGGAAGACCACAGGCCTCAAAGCAGGAGCACGTTAAGTTCTCGTAAGCTGTCCAGACTGAGAGGCGTGGGATGGAAATAGTCAGGGCGAAGAGTCGTCACCTTTCTTCCATCCTGTTTTATTTTAACACTTCCGCTTCCACTACATTCCGGCAGTCTCGGACTTCCTTTAGAGAACCTCTCCATCAGATGATGAGCTCTCATACTCTGAATGCAATTTTGAGAAGTGTATCGGAATAGCTGGCTCTCCGATTGTCACGCAGCAAGAGCAGCTCACACACGAAGCGACCATCATTCATTTGTCCGATGCACGACCTGCAACGTGAAACGGTGCATATACAATGTTTGTAGTTCCCCAAAAACATAACAGACAGTAGCACCTTTCTAGGTGTGTGCAGTTTCGCGTCTAGGCAGGAGCCTACAAATATGTAATCACCGCCATACATGTACGGCAGCAACCGTCAAAGGGTTGACAGGCCTGGCTTCGGATTCTATGTTCAGTTTCCTCCCAAGAGTTCAACTGCAGCCGACAGTACCAGTTATCCCAGCCCATTCAGTGTTGCTGTGCCCAGCCAGAAGTTCATGTGGCTCTGTCTCAAAGTTGGATTAGCTCTAATGGTGCGTAGCAACTGCTGCAGTTAATTTTTTTTTTTTAAGTGAAACAGAGGACTTTTTTGATATCGATCTAATTGATACCTGATTTTCAAATCATAATGTAGAAACAACCCCCCCCAAAAAAAAACAGACAGAGTAGAAGAAACACGCAGACAGGACTAACGCTGACTCGTAACTGAAGATTTTGTTACTTGAAACAGAAAAGACAAAAAAATAAAGAAACCAAACAGGTGCTGTCAGTCATACATGTGTCAAAGCCCTTGCTCTATCACCCCCATAACCGTCACATCACCACGTTGCCACCTCTCACTCTCGAGTGCAAAACTTCAAATTTTCTTTTCCAAAGGCTCTATTGACACTTCACTTTTGCACTGATCCCTAAGACTGAGTGTGAAAAGCCTCGAACGCTGCTCTGGTCATTCTATCTTTGTTTCTTCCTAAAATTGTAGCATCGCCAATGGACGGGTTACACTTGCACGCTTGGCGGTGTATTGAGAGGTGCCCTTCAACCGTGGCATCAAGAGAGTAGTTATGCTTTCTGAGCATATCCTTTAGACACCTTTTAGTCTGCCTGACATAACACTTTTTGCACAAGAGGGAGATTTTGTACACAACCCCCTCACAGCACCTTACGAATGGCTTTACGTGTTTCTTAGAACTCCGAAACTGTGCAAGAAATAAACATTGTTCTGGCATCCTGAGTCACTCATGAGCCGATATGTTTAGCTTGAGGTCCCAGTCATTTATATTATATTTATACGGAGTCTACAATAGATCTTTGCACTGCTAGACGAGCCAGAAATCTCAGCACCTGCACTTTTGAAGCTAAGACGTTTACTTGAATGTAATAAGGTTGTGAATTTTACCTTGCTAAATTTCAAGATGAGTTCTTTTCCTGTAAAAATTGGACCAACAAACTTGCCAGGGTCAAAGGTAGACATGTTCACAGACGACCAAGTTACCGACACTTATAACCGCTGCGAGCAGACAACACACTCAGTCATCTGCAAACGCGTCTACCGTTGGCTTCGGCAAGTTTGTTGGTCTTCTCATTTTTTACAGGAAGAGAACTGCGCCTTGAAATTTCACAAGGTAAAATTCACCACTTAAATGCACATTTGGTTACCGTTTTAGCTTTTTAGGTGCAGGTTTTGATTTGTTTGGTTTGTTTTACAGTGCAAGAAACACAGTGGCCACCCTACATCTATGTCCCTTCCAACCACCTGTGGCCATTTACATAGGCCGCATCCGTGCGCCATGCATTAGGTGTGTGCCAAGCTCCTGGATCTGTGTGCTGTTGTAGAATGGTGACACTAGCCAGGCAGTCAGACTCAGTGGACCTACAGAATACTATTAGGTAGTCATAAATATGGGCTTCCTCCGGAACAGAGTCAACACATTCACATGTATGAAGCAGCAATATTTCATGTTTGATGCACCTTCGACTGACTGCTTCCACAGTTGTGTAAGCCTATTTGTTCCCTGAATTCCTTCTTTATTGGATAACTTATTCCCATGAGTAGACTTCTTTGGATAATGCCAAATTGAACATTATCTAAGAAATATGGAGGTCAACCTACCACACCTGGGAAAATATGTTGAAGATGGTTGCATGAAGGTCTCCAGAGCTCGCAGCAGCTTGAAACCTTCGAAATTCATTAACTGGAGGGGCCTGGAATATCCCTATTCTTAGTTAATTTGCCAAAGATTGCTGAATGGTACATTTTTTAAAGTTATTTGTATCACTCAAAAGCACTTTACACTCAGACTTCCATATATCGAGCCTCTCGGACAGTTGTAGCTTTTTAAATCATGGTAACTATTTCCAAGTGCTGGCCTTTGTGCTATCTTTTGGAAGACATAGATGCGCTCTA